TTTTTAATCTAAGTGTGATTTGACAACTATGTGAATATATTCTTTTTAAGATTATTCTAAGTGTAAACTAAAGATCCCTAAAAAAAATAGGTTCTAGGCTATATCAACAAAATTAAGTTCGAGAGTTGATTATGTGTAGAGAAGATTTTAGCATCTTATTATACTCAAAATTATTACCAAATTAGTTATATGTTACCTTATCCAAACCTTATCAAAGATGATTTTTTATCATGCAAAAATCAAGGAAAATCATGCCAATATCATACAAATATATATATATATATATATATATATAAACATCATGCAACAATCATACCAAAATATTATGCAAATATTTAATAAATCATGCTAATAAATAATAGTAATCAAGCAAATAATAAATATGCAAATATTAAATAATCATGTAAATATATTAATAATCAGGCAAATAATAAATATATTAATAATCATGCAAATATTAAATATATTAATAATTATACAATTAAATACATACAAAAATAAATACCTTGCAAATATGTATCATAATTATTCATGCAAAGAAATAAAAGCCATGCAAAAATGTCATAATAAAAATATGCCAAAATGAAGAATTTTTTTCTTTTCCTTTTTCAAATTAAATTAATATAAAGAAAATAAATAAAAGAAGGATTAAAAAATAGAAAAAATAGTAAATAAAATTAAATAAAAAACTTGCAAGAGCCAACAAACAGTTCGAGTCTAGATTCGTAGATCCTGGATGGGTTTCCAAAAATGACATTATTTCACACCATTATAAAAGCCAAAAACTCTTTTTTTATCAGATATCCTCTGTTGCTTCTCTCTTTAAGTCAAAATTCTCTTTTTCTCTCTAGAATCCACCGGAAACTCGAAAGACCAACAATAATCCAGATTCTAAGGTTAGAAAATTCAACAGACCATTGTGAAATTCAAGTTTTCCCAGAAACAACCCAAAACCTAGAAACTGGCCACCGTGAAATCTCTCAAACCGTTGTGTACCTCATCGAAAAACTTGAGTCTTCATAAAAAAAAAAAAACTTAAGCAGAAACCCAAAATTTAAATCAAATTTAAAAAAATCCCAAAAATTCAACACTAAAGGATAATCACCACTATCAAAATAACCCTTAATAAATGATATTCAAGTATAGAGAAAGGTTAAAATATGGAGCCTTAAATTCTGATTTTCATTTTTTAGTGTAAAAGCAAAGTATTCCATGCATTTTAAAACATTATTATTACTTAGCAGCAAGAAGAATGGAAAAGCTTGAGAAATTTCATCTTGAATGGGGAAAAAAAGTTAAATATGCGACAGGTAATAACAATGACACTCCTGAAATTAGAACTTAACTTTCAAGAAATTCAAGGCCAATGGTTGAGTTCTATTTCTCACAATTTAATTAAAAGGTAGCTTCACAGTGCTCAAACATGTGGAAAAGAGAGGAACCAAAAGCATAGCCAATATGTTGTCTCTAGCCATTAATATGGCCTATGGGTCAAATTTTATGAGCTGCTGCCCATGAAGGGTTTTAGGTCTTTTATGTAGCCAATGTCAAGCAGCACCTATACGTCAGTATGCTTATGGAAATGTTCAAGCATCATGCCAGTATCTTAAAGTGTACAACTAATACTATATATATGTAATTTATTCTTGATTTTCCTTTTCTTCCTCCTTTCTCAAAATTTAATTTTACATTTAAAAACAAAGTTTATTTCCATTAATACATAAAAGAAACTTCTCAAGTTTGTTCTCTCACTTGATTTTTCTTTCTTTTTTTTTTTTTTTTACAAAAATGAAGGTCATAGCTTTGAAAATAGAAAGAGAGATTATAAGTATTCGGATTTGAATCTCAAATCTAACATGTCACTTTTATGATTGCATAAATTAATTGAATTAAATTTCAAATTTTTATTAATTTGATATTATTGAACATCAAAATAATCCCATTTTTCTTTGCCATTTAAAAAATATATTAAGATGTCTCAACAATAAGAGAAAGCCTTAGAACTTTTAGGTCTCATATTCAAATCCCATATGAAGAGTGGGATTCATCCAATTATATATTGGTTTAGTAATTAGTTGTTGGTCTGACTTGTTTATCGATTTCATCTTCTTCTTAATGTTGATTTCATACATATATATATATATTAAAAAAAGATGGTTCCATTTATTAATTTATAGTTTTTTTTTTTTTTTGGTATAATTAGTGTTTGACATAATGGTGGTTCATTTAATGGGGCTATCCTCAAAAATGGTTGGAGACAAGTGGTTTGTTTGGCAAATGATTGAAAGATTGATTTTCAAAAGAAGAGCGCGGTACACTAATCAGAGAAGATAAGGTTTGAACCAATTAGACTATATTTGTCTTTAAATTCAAGGAAATGAAAATGATAAGCATTTCAGTAAGTGGGATAACAAAGATCAGATTCGGGGTGGTTCTTATTCATTCAGATAATGGTGATGGTATATACCACTTAAAAAAAGATTGATCCACTTTGGTTTTATGAGCAGCCAAGCCAATATTTGATGTTTCCAGTTAGGTTTCTTTGTTTTCACAAATTATTTCAATTCAATTTCTTCTGCATTTATCCACACTCTTGGATCTATTTATCTATATATATACATATATATATATATTAAATGAATTACATCCAAGTATTATCCCAATTTCATGTATTTATATTTTGTTAAAAATTTTATATATCTCATATTTTTGGATAACCTGTTTTTTTCACCTGAGGGTTTTCTTTTATTTGTTACTCTTTTCATCCGAATTTGTTTGATTGGTATTAATTGTCATAGAGTTTAAAAAAAATGACTTTAATGTATTTAATATTAAAATTAATTTTTTTATAAAATTAAATTTTCATAATTTTTAATATCAAAAAATAATAAATTATAAAAAATAATTTTAAATATAAAAAATAGGAATTTTAATTATTCAAAAAAATATAATTTTAGAATACCAAAAAAAAAAAGAAGATGAATATAAAAAATGGACAGAGAGAATATTATTTTTTTTTAACATAAAAATCAACATTACATTTCTTTTTACAGATAATGAGTATGGTTCATTTTTAATGGACGTGTCAATCTTAAGTTGGATACGTGAAGTATGCCTATGCTTATGTTTCCTTTTTTATTAGTTAAAACAAAAAAAAATTAATTAATTAAAAAATCATATAAGATAAAGTTCCTTGTAATCTATTAATACGAGTAAATTGCACTACATATCTTTGATTTTTGCGTTTTTTGTTTTTATCAAAAAGTTTTAAAACTCAATTTTTATCTGATCTTTTAAAAATATTTTAAATTAATTTATTTTGTCAATTATTATTAAATACAATAAAATTTGCCGAATGTTCATCTGCTAAAAAAAAAACAAAGAGCCCGGTCGATTTTTTTTTTTATTGAAATTTAGGTCACGTTGATATTCACATTGCATGATGTGGCATACATCTTTAATGAAAAACTTATTGTTAATTTTTTAATTTTACTTGGAGAGTTTAAAAACTTAATAAGAAATCATCCGCATTCTAGTGGACTGACTGCTGTCTTTAAGAAATTCTTTTTTTAATAAGTTCTTAATTTTTTTTTCTTTATTAATTATTTTGAGCATTTAATTTAGCTATAAATACTTGCTTTCTTTTTTTGTTACAAAACTGAACTGAAACCCTCATTCTTTCAAATTTTCGTTTTCTTTTTTAAATCTGTATCTAAATTTTGAATTTCCCATACACTAATATGAATAGTTCTACAATGTTAACACATTCATTATTTTCATTTTAAAATATAATTTTTAGTTATGCTTAAGATCAATTCTTTTCTTTGTCTACATGCACTGAATTTTTTTTCTCTTTTCCATAATTTCACTAAGAAAAAATTAAGTGATTACATTTAGAGATATTCGTAGGTCAGATTCGAATCGAATTTATGTTTAATATTAATAATTTATATGCTTATCTAAATTTAGTCTGACTTTATATTTTAAGTCTCAAATTTTTCTAAGGTCCAATCCAAATTGAAAAAAATAAATTTAAAACCAACTCGTTAAGCTTAATTTGTATAATAAAATTTTTTAAATAAAATAATTATTTTTTTAAAAATAAATTATTAAAATAAAAATTCACATATATATTTATATAATTATAATATTTTAACTATATATTTTGTTTGAGCTAGACTAGATCTAGGTTTTAATTTTTTTTTTAAGATTCGATCTAAAATTTAAATGAATCTAAAAATTATATTTAAATTCATTTAATGTATTTTAATTTTTTATTCAAATTCTCTTAAATTTTGATCAAATCTTTAAATGAGGATGAATAACTAATCTTTAAATAGGTTTAATCACATCCTAATAGTATAATTATTTAAAAAAAAAAAACTACACCAATAATCTTTTACATCTACTCAATAAAATTTAACAATACAGCAATGCGCCAGTGATAAATTGGTTAATCGTTGATTTAAGTCGCTGTCATCATATATACGGAAACTAATTAAAAGAAAAAAAAAAAAAGAGAAATGAATTTGCTTTACAAAGAAAGAAGATAATTGAAGGAAAGTAACAATGTTGTTTCAGTTTTGCATACGAAACATGACCCCGAAAATATCTTCTTAAGTTAGTAATTTATTTACTAGCTATTTAAATTTTTAAATTCTTTCGCTGAAGTCTTGTTTTAGTGGTAACTGGTATGTAATAAGTCCTCCAGACTGTTTATTGCGAAATTTGTTATAAAATGTATGAATTTGATTTAATTTTAAATTAATTAATTTAAATTTATTGGTTATAAATTTATTTGTTCAACTCTTGGTTAAAGTTAGGTTATATAATTGAAGATTTAATTTATTATCAAAATAACTTTTACTTGGACATATATAATCTCATAAAACTTTTTATTAAAATTAAATTTAAAAATAAAACAAACTAAAAAATCTGGCGTACAAAAAAAAAAACCAAAACCAAAAGCAAAAAAACAGAAGAAGCGGAAGGTGGAGATGGCAATTACAACGCCATAAGGATAAAACGGCTCTCCCTACCGTGGTGTCATTTTCTTTGCAAACTTCTCTTCAGTTTCAATTCTTGTAGCCGTTTCACTCTCTCCAACCTATATATTCATATGCATTTTCATTTCCATATATGCTTCAATCTCTGCATCTCATCACCACTCTCTCATTCTCATGGCGGGTCTCTACTCTTCTTCAAGACCCACTTCCTCCTTCTCTTCTTCTTCTTCTTCCTCTGCTTCCCTTCCTTCTTCTCAGCAGGCCTTTACTTCTCGTCTTCTCTTGCTCTTGACTCTCCTCCCATTAACCCTCGCCTTCTTTGCTTTTATCCTCCAATGGCGTGGCGGTCTCACCGACCCCGTCACTCGTTGGTCTCCTGACCCTTTCCAGTTCCCTGGCATGGACAACCCCGGTTCAAACTCTCGCTCGGATCGGCGGTCTGCTTCGGACTGCGTCGATCTTTTGGGTCAGAGCCGGTTCCCGGCTTTTCCTTATTTTAAGGATTGGAAGTTCGATTTCGAGTCCGATCTTAGGCCTAAGGTTGGTTGGATTTTCGAATCTTGATGGTGATTCTCCCTTTTTAGAGTTGATGGAAATCTATATTCTTATTCTAGATCTTTTGCTTTTTCTCAGTTCTATATTGAGAAAAAAACAAAAAGCATTGATGTAGTTTCTTTTTTTGCGCCACCAGAAGAAATTGAATTGGAAATGGTTTTGATTAGGAATGACTTAATAAAATGAATCGAGAGCTTATGCACTAATGAATCTGAATCATGGAAATTTAGGTCCTAATTAGCCTCGGAAATAGACTATGCGCAATTTTCTAAACTAAAATATATACTTTTTCGTACGAATAATAAACCATTAAACTAAAATAGGCATGGATGAAATCAGATGTGGAGAGTTCAACTGCTAAAATAGCTTTCTATAGTCGTCGGACATGTTGTTCCAGATGATTGTAGAGGAGGGAGGGGAAAACAGGGAAACATTCAGAATCCAGAGAGAAAAAATTCCTAGGGAAATGGGAAGAAATAGAAGAAACTGAAGAAGGAAAGATTCAATTTCAGAAACTTATAATATAATAATTAAAAAATAAATAATTCACCATAATCAAAGGTTACCCAGAAACTTGAAAGACGGTAAAGTAATTGAAGGATACATCCGTAAACCCAAATGTAAATAGTAAACACAAATAGCAAGTATAAACCTTGATGGCCTTGATACATGAGCATAACACTAATTAATATGATAACCTAAATGATCTAAAATGTAGTAAATGTATATACAAATTCCAATAAGTTCATAAAATTTAACAAATTAGTAAAATAAAATAGAAATTAGTTTAATTGATCAAGTAGTTTCTTTGATCCTGCATCCCTAGGTGTACCTTTTGGAAATATTTTCTTGTGCTACGTAGCTTATTGAAGATTCTAGTGAGAAAGTTTCTGTTTGCACATTGAAGATGATAGTCCCTTTGGCTTTTACTACAAAAATGTTATTTTTGCATGAACTTTGAAATTGAAAGGTGTTAATATGCATGTTTAGGTATTGTTGTATATTACAAAAGGTTTGGGTGGATATCAAATCTGTTTACAATAACAAATTTTTTATGCCATGTTGTACATGAACATCATTTGAAACATAGCAACATAAATATTTTTAAAGATGCAAGGATATGTTTAAACTTCCCACCGAAGTTCCATCAAAACAGAAGGCTTTCATCACTGTATTCTGAAAATTGTCTACGCTTTTCAGGATGTAAGCTTAAGAAAATTGATAAGTGTATGGTTTTTCAAAATACAGGGGTATGTTTGTATTTTAAAGACAGTTTTATTTCTCCAGATGTTTTTTCTCAGTCAGTATCAAATGATTTTTTTTTCTCAGAATTGACATATCAAATGATTCAATATTCAACTGTTTCATATGTTTGTTCATCAGAAAAGAGAAAGATCCTGCCAGATTCTTCCTTTTCACTCTTACTGATTGCTTCAACTCTAATTATCGCCTTTTCATATGTCAATTCTCTTTCTCTTTCTCTGCTCCAATTTTTTAAAGAAATATTTTTACTGTATGTTGACCATTATTATCACCCTTGTATATGTTTTGATGTATGGTGGATGCAATTTCTTACGTTCTTTTGGTGGTTTTGCTGCATGCCAGATATGTATTATTTCAAGTACTTCTGCAGGATTAGAGCAGACATTACCATGGATCTTTTATCACAAGGTTATTGGAGTTTCAACCTTTTTCCTTTTTGTTGAGGGGAAGGCTGCCTCTCCTAATGTATCTAAAGTCTTAGAATCGATTCCAGTGAGTACAAATCCTTTGTTTCTCCTTTTCATTTTTGGTACCTTGTTATTATGTTCTAGTGTTTATTCCACTTTGCTTCTGTTGCTCTCTACAAATGCATCTTTTGCAGGGTGTGAAAGTGATATACAGAACAAAAGAATTAGAGGAACAACAAGCTAAAAGGTTGGTACATGATTTGGTTGAATAGCTGATAACCAAAAGTATTTGTTTTCTTGTGGTCTTGTTCTAGAAGGCATTTTTTGAACTTTCTTCTTTTCTATACAATACTTAAATGGTTGTTGGAGAACTCAATGCTAGAGAGAAGGCCAGGTGGAGAGAGAGAGAGAGAGAGAGAATTTTGAAGGTTAAGAAGAAACCTACTTTCAGTCCTGGAATACTGATGGTTTGGTAGCAATGAAATCAAAGTCTCCAAAGTTTTGGACCAAAATACCATTCTGCTAAGCCCATAAAATCTGAATAAATTACACATGTTGTTGAGAGACATGAGCTCTGAATAAACAGTGCTATGTCCCAAGGTGTAAACTGGAGTAAAAGTTACCTGTTTTATGTCCATAGAGTCTGACTTGATATTCTTCTATTTCCTTCTCCAATTTCGTTTTGGTGCTTGTAGTCGGATTTGGAATGAGACTTGGTTGGCAAGCTTCTTCTACAAACCATGTAACTACGAGTTGTTTGTGAAGCAATCCCTTAACATGGAAATGTCTATTGTCATGGCAAGGGTATGTTATTACATTTTCATCTCTGGCATAATATATGTTATGTATAGTGTAAATGCATGTTGATGGTAAGGTATAACCCTTAGCCTTACTTTTCTTTTATTCATTCATTTACAGGATGCAGGCATGGATTGGATTATTCATCTTGACACCGATGAGCTTGTACATCCTGCGGGTGCTCGTGAGTACTCTTTGAGACAATTGCTGTCAGATGTGCCTGGAAATGTTGATATGGTTGTTTTCCCAAATTATGTGAGTAGAGCTGCGTCTATAAATTTAGATAAAGTTAATTGTATTTATTTTGATGATAAAGAGGTTTAGTTGGTGAAGTTGTTATTGCAGTCTTTATTTTGTTCTATCATTGTTGTCAACGCTGAAAGTGATTAAAGCATATTAAATTTTCAGGAAAGTAGTGTCGAGCAGGATGATGTCAAGGAACCTTTCACTGAGGTATAATCTCCTCTATTTGTTTCTCATGCTTTACTTTAGCTAGGTTTATAAAAACATGACTAATATTAGTTTGATTGGAAGATTATTAGGTTTCCTGTCTCTCATGCCTGGAGAGACCCAATTTTTGTCAGGGTGTGATAATGTATGCATTCATTGTTTATGATTACATCTTCTATCTTGGCATAGGTCTCAATGTTCAAGAAGAACTATGATCATCTTCCCAAGGATGTGTATTTTGGCAACTATAAAGAGGCAACTCGTGGTAATCCAAACTACTTTCTGACCTATGGAAATGGGAAATCAGCTGCTCGTATTCAAGATCATCTTCGTCCTAATGGTGCACATAGATGGCATAACTACATGAAGACACCAAAGTATGGTATTTCTCCTATTCTATTGATTTTGTGTGAATAAATTGATGTAGTTAAATGTATTTTTATGTATATCTAGCATTAGGAAGTCTTCACTTTTTTTTCTGTGCCAATGTTATCAAGCTGCTTGGCTAGGCGCTACGGCACAGTGCAAACCTAGTAAAGCGCCTTGGACTGCTTCAGGCAAGGCACCTGTGATCAAGTGTTAACTATTTGTGCCTAGGCACATTTTTTTAAGGACAAAAGCATAAAAAGGCACACTTAACTTAAGTGTCAGTTTGGTTTCTTTGGTTTTTAGTTTCTTTTTTCAGCCATTCTTTTAATTGCCAAAAGAAGATAATATTAGCTCTCTTTACAAAAATTAAACTTTGGGTACTAATCATAATATAGTCCATGCACAATATTTTGTTGAAGATTGAAGTGAAAAAGTATTGCGCCTTCTTTGATGATGACTTTTAGTTAATTACTATGATATATTTTCATCTTTGGAACACGTTAAACAATAAATAAAGCAAATTCTTTATGTTTTATTGACAAAATCATAAATTTCAAGCTTATTAAATGCAATGCAGAGAGTTTTCTTTGTTTTATATATACTATTAATTATCATTTAAAAATTAGTGCCTTATTTCACTTAGGTGAGTGCTTTCTTTTTTTTTTTTTATGGCACCTTATTTCACTCAGGTGATATATACGTGCTTTTGTATGATAAGTTGTTAATAGCTGTTTAACCTAGATGGTTTCTACTTTAATGAGGAGTTGTCTGTTATGTTCCTTTTTGTAACCTGTTTTTTAAAAAACATTTAATTCATGGTTGAAGAGCACAACTTTCATTTCTTATTCATTGGTATATGACTACCTTGATTTTGTGTAATATTTCATAGTGAGATCAAATTGGATGAGGCTGCTGTTCTGCATTATACATACCCCAAATTTTCTGATCTCACTTCAAGGCGTGATCGATGTGGCTGCAAGCCTACAAAGGAAGATGTTAAGAGATGTTTCATGTTAGAATTTGATAGAGCTGTGAGTTCCAATTGATGAACCATCATATTCCTTTTATCTGTTTTTAACTTGCATTGTAGTTTCTCTTGCCCTTGCACTTACTCGGGAGGTTTCCTACCCTTTTGAGTTTATTTTAATCTAATTTTAGATATGAGTTTGTCATTTTCCTGAATTTTTTTAGATAATAATGTGTTCTCTAAGATAAACAGCTTTATGGGCTTAGCGAAATTGGATTGTGGCTTACCTGTCCTTGGGTGCAGACTTGAGCGTTGCTTAAAATATTTTCAAGGCTAGTTGAGCAGGCGTATTGCTAGTTTATGTCAGGCTTTTTCTTGTATTTACTGACCTGCATGTATGTTGAACCTGATTGTATTTCTCTAGTAAGCTTAGATATTAATGTACTTATATAAAGCACATGTCAAAGAAAGGAACATTAAAATTTAAAGTGGAGGCATCTTTATAATTAATGGGTGGGCTTTCCTTGATGTCAGCTTGACCATTTTATGGGTATAAGTTATAGACATAATGCATGGTTTCTGACCTTTTATTTGCATTATAATCAAGTTTGGTGAGTTGGCCACTGCAAGGTAGTCATCAAGTGGTATTTAAGTTAATTTTGACATATGGGTGTGTTATAGAAAGTTCCATTTTTGTATTACATTTGACTATACTTGTAATTTTTGTACTTATTAGGGAGGGTGAGAGTTGGGGAGTTCTCTATGATGATTACATGTTTACTGATGCCTGTATTATTTTGATGAAGGGAGAGGGGTGGGGGGAACTGCTTTCTGGGGTACTCTATGTGGCAAATAGGTGATGGACTTTAAATGATGCTGCTAATATTTGGGATTAATCTGCTTACAGTTCTTTTATGTTTTATTTTATACAGGCATTCATAATTGCTTCAACTGCAACAGAGGAGGAAATGCTTCACTGGTAATGCTTATATTATCATATTAAATGTCCGCCATTTTCATGTTTTTCATTTCAAACATAAACCAAATAGAGCTTCTGATGTTGCATGTTATGAGAGAGGGTTTCTAGTTTTTAACTTTACAAGTTGCTTTATGAGGAGCTATTCTTAATGCAACTTCCAGATGGAAGGAATGGGTCTTGGAATACTGATTCGTTGAAATACTCATTTAATCTAAGATTTCTAGGTCATATTTGGTGCATAGGATGATAGATAGGATAGGATGATAATCATCCTATATTATGTTTGATTTGCATCTAAAGAAATAGATAGGATTACAAAGAGGATTATCATCCTCTTAGCATAGAATTATTCAATCCTTCCAAAGTAGAGAGGATTATTTTTAATCTATGGGATTGAATTTACATGTCCTATTATATTCTTAAAAATTACATCAATAATTTAAATTGAATAAACTTTGAGGAAAGATAATTTTGACCAATAAATAAAAATATCCTATCCTAATCCTTTCACACATCAAACATGAGATTGGTTGAAATTATTTAATCTAATGTTTTTTATAATATCATCTTATCATATTTTATCATAATCTTGTACACCAAACATACCCTTAATGATATGTTTAGACTAAAAAGAGGTAACTCTTAGTTTCTACCCTAGTGATTTCTTGTAGGATTCTTTAATACATGAGTTTGTCTTTACATGTGTCAAATGCCTACACTTATTGGGCTTACTATAGTCAATTATCACTTTGCAAATTGTTAGACTGTCTAAGAATTGTTTATGATGATCTACTCCTTACTTTTCCAAGTCAACAAAAATGTTTCTCACCAATCAATTTGTTTTATGGTTGTGTGGCTCCAGAGTTTATATTTGTCTTCCTCAAACAATGTTGTTCTTTTGATTTAGGTACCGTGAACATGTGGTGTGGACTGATAAAGCATTGAACTTGAAACTGTTGAGGAAGGGCATCTTAACTCAGATTTATACTCCCATGGTGAGTAAAACTACTGTGCAGGTTTATCTCAAGCCTAACTTGTGGTTTTCTGCTGATCTTTGCTATGGATCATATTTTGGATGAAGCATGTGTGGTTAAAGTGTCAGGTTCCTGAAATCATTTACTTTGTCCTCTGTTCACAGGCTATAATCCAAGGACTTAGGGAATCTGGTGTTTTCAGTTCTGTAGTACAATCAGCAGAGACGACTCTCTCAAAGGACAAGTTCTTGTCGTCAGTTGAGAGTAGCAACTCTTCTAGAGTAGATAAACCTGGAAGAATTTCTTCCAGAAAGATTGGTGTCAAAGAATCTCAGGCAACTGCTAGAAGGATCTTGGAAATTACCAACAAATTTTCTTATGATTCAGCAATCCCACCACTTTCTCCTCCAGTACTGGATTATTTTCACATTGGAATATAATGACATTAAACTCACAGTGATTACTGCTGCCTCATCATTCCTGCAAAGAGTTCGAGATTTGAAATGAAGATGGTTGAATGAGACAAGTTGGTTTGCCGGTTCTGATGGGGCATTTCAGTGTTCGGTTTCCTGGGGCTATTCCCGATCATTACCCAAGCGCTGCTGTACATTTCAGGTTTAGATTTGTAGTAGATGATAGAGTGAGAGATGTAGAGCGGGATTCTGACTAAAGATTTTGATGAGTTTTGCTTTGCATGTTTGATATTTTTTGGATGCCTGGCTAATCGCTGCCTGAGGCTGTATTATCAACTGGTTCATCATATTATTGAGTTGAGGGACATTGATCATGTCATTCTCCAATCAGTTTACAGAGATGCACATTGCTGTTCCATTCTTTTGCATTTACTTGAAATAATTGCATTCTTATTGCTTCCAATGAAAATATTAAGATTGCAGGCTAGCTATTCTTATTTGGTTAAATTCAGGTGAGCTGTGCTTAGGCATGTATCTCGCTTTCATATCGATAAAGTAGGCAAAGGTTAATCTAGATCCTATTTTTTGTATTTTTAATAGTAATTCATCCGTTGATGTACGTTTATTATGCAAATTTCTACTTTTTCTTGCTGGCTTCGACACACATAACACGTATATTTATAATTAATTTTTTATACATTTTGGTGAAACTTCACCGTATATATTTTTAAAATTTTTTATTTTTAAAAAATATATTATTTTATTAATTTTTAAATTTAAAAATTTTATGTTAATAAAAAATTAAGAGTTAAACATGTATTGTAGTACTAAATCATAGGTCAATTTTTTTTTTATTTTTTCATGTCTAATAATTGATTTTTATTGTAAAATTAGCTTAATTTGAAAAATATTACAGGTAATAAAAAAAACAAATGAAGATGACGTGGTTATTTTGATCGACTTTATTTTTTTATCAAAATTATTTAATTTTTATGAATAAAAAAGGTAAAAATATTAAAAAAAAAAAGACGAATAACAAAATAAAAATTTATAAAGGATGTCATATGGACACTTTTATTAAATTTAAAATATTAATTTTTTAAATATATATAAAATAATAATAATAATAAAATATATACTTTTATATATACTTTAAAATTGATTAAAACAAACACCATAAAACTACCTCGTTCTTTTGAAAAAAAAAAAAAAAAAGTGATATGTTTCAACTTAACTTTGATATAACAAATTTCGTTTTCTTATCTAATCGAGATGGATCAAATTTATTGAATATAAATTATTTTGATATCGTTATTAATCGATATCATTTGTTGTAAAATTAATCTAATTAAAATTTTTTTTGAAAAAATCAAAGGAAAAAAGTTAAATGAAGTTGTCACGCAAACATTTCAATCAATCTCTCTTATTTTAATTAAATTAATTTTATAAAAAAAAAAAGACAAAACAAATAAACAATAAAATTTATTAAATTAAGATATTAAATAATTATAGAGACCAACATCTAACTTACGAGATATTATTTTTTTTTACTCAAAAATCTCACAATTTTATTCATAAAAAATACCTCACAAGTTTGGATTTAGATCTTTACATATATATAATTTTTTATCCACATATTCTTCTAATGTGGGATTAAAGACATTACAATCTCTCTATCTTTAAAGCTTGACGTCCTTGTCAAGCCTAATCCAACCATAAAACAAAGATCATACTAGATGTTGAAATTTCAGAGGTAACTCTCCACTATATAGTATTTAGTGACTTTCACGGTATAGCAATTAGTTCTCGTCGATTGATTATTACTCTGATATCATTTGTTGATACTCACAATTAACTTATGAGACATTATCTGTTTTGACTTGAATGTCTCATAATTTTACCTCATAAAAAACGTCTCACAAGTCTGGATTTAGATTTATATATATATATATATATATCATTTCTTATCAACACATTATTTCAATATGAGATTTGAAACATTACAATAATAATCTATTAATGTAATACATATTTATATATATAAATAAAATGAAATAATAAATAAGTTATATCAAGGATTTTAAGAAAAATATTGAAAAAAGAAAAACGAAAAATTTTTGTAATATTTTTTTAATATTATAAATAAAAAATATATATTAAATCAATAATATTAAATGGATTTCACTTTTTTAATAAATTTTAAAATATTTTTTAAAAAATTATTAAATTTTAAAGAAATATGAAAAAATAAAAAAAAAAGGGATAAAAGGAAAAAAAAAGCAAATGATAGAAAACGTAATATACCCTTAGCGTCAATGGAGTCACACAAAAAATTAAATTCATTAAAATATTTATTAAATATAGAAATTAAAAATAATTGAAAAGAAAAAAGAGAAAAAAAAAAGATACAAAAGTAAACACAAGGCATGCACTTGGTATCAACGCATCTCGAAATAAAAAAATAAAATAAATTTAAAAAAAATCAAATTTATATGTGATGTCAATATATTCGTCAATACTTTTTTTAAAATTAAAAAAAAAAACAAAAAGTATATATTTTACTAATAATATATAATGGGTCTTAAAATTTTAAAAAGTATTACATTTTTTTAATTAAATAAATAAAGGAAAAAAGTAAATAGAAAAGATAAAAAAGCAGGAGAGAATAAAAAAGAATAAAAAAAACTTATTATGTAACGTAACCATTGAGATAAGTCAATAAAAAAATTTTAAAAATTTATTTATTAAATATATAAAAAGATTAAAAACTAAAAAAAAAATACATGACATACCTTTGATATTAAAAGGTTAAAAAAATTTATAAAATCTTTTCAAAAAAAAAAGGAAAAAAGGAATAAAATCTGATATTAAGTTGGATCCACAAAAAATAAAAAAAAATTTAAAAAATTTTAAAAAATAAAAAATTACATGTGATACCAAAGGAAAAATCTAGAAAAAAATAATTCAACAAAAAGTTAAAAAAATATATCATATTAAAAATTTCTAATAAAATACATAAAAATTTAATTTTAAAAAAAAATCATCAAAACAAATCCCACGAACAAAGTATGAGTCCTATATTTAAAAACAAAAATGTGTGTTTCAAGGGAAATATTTTGAAAGTGGATCTCAATTCTTACAGAGTTTCTTAAAAAACTAAAGAGATTACACATGATAGCATAAGAAAACCAAAATAATGTGGATGTCACGTGATCTACAATATATATTCATACATAGATACGTTTTATCTATGAGATAGTTGGATGAACAGATAGATTAAATTTTAATTATATTTAAATTAGTATTTATATTAAATAAAGATATTAAAAAATAATTTTATTAATATAATAATATATAAATATAAAATAAAATCACTAATTAAAAATATAATTTTATATCTATACTTTAAACATTATATAAAATTTTAAACCAGCATTCGATCTTATCTTAATTTTAAAAAAGAGACTAAATCATTATGATCTCTAATTTTTAAAAAAACTGCACATATTGCACTAAGCATGATAGAAATTCATGAGATATAAATTGTTTTATCATATCTACATTGATTGATTTTTTACAAAATTGATCTATTTTAAAAAAAGGTAATTTTCTTAAAAAATAAAAGAAATGACAAAAAAAAAAAGTAAAAACGAAAGACAAATGGGGATGACACTTAAGTTCATTAAATTAAGATATTAAAAAATAATTTTATTGATATATAAATATAAATATATATATAAATTAAAAAGATCAATAGAAAAAAAAAAAAGATCTCACAAAAAAAAATGAATCCTACTCCTTTTCAATTTAAGAAAAAAAAGGTGAAAGCCATTACAAAAAATTAAAAAAAAAATGATCTTGAGCTAAGTTATATGATCAACACGAGGCAGCATCTAGTTGAAATATGCATCATTTAGATTTGGTTATGATATTCACTAGAAATAAAACACTTGATGGAGATCAGTAAGTGAATACTAATTGTAAGTGAAGACTTAAATAATAATGATAATAATAATAATAATAACTAGCAAAGTGTCCTTGCCCGCACGTTGCTACGAGGCTAAAAAATATGCTATCATCATACATTTAACATTCATTATTACTTTTATCAACATAAACAAATAATTATATAATTAATTACTTGTCATCATACAAAAAAAATTGTAAAAAACATTAGAATATTAACATATACAAATAATATAAACAACAAAGGAAATATGGTGTTTATCTTTATATATAAAGGTCATACTGCTTTTTGTTAAAGACATACGCCATTTTAAACTTTCATTGTCACCACAATCTTACCAAGCTAATAGTTTCTAAACTAAGAAGTGACAAACTACACCTCTTTTCATCTTATCAAGAGGGAATTAGAGACATCATGACCCTTTACAATGGAAAGTAACATGTTCCCATAAACTTTTTGGCTGATTATGGTCTAAATCTAAAGTAAGATTAATTAGCACCTAATCAAAAATAAACATTTAAAGAAAAAAAAAGGGAACTAACACAATATCACCTTAGTTTCATATATAATCGTTCTTTTACTTACAAATCAAAAAACCTATATAGGCACTTTCATGTGATACACAAAGAATATGGTTAAATAGACTACCAAATACCTATTGCATCTAATTTTTTATGAACATTCCAAGGAAGCAAGACCAATACAATGTTCAATGGATGATTTCTCTATAAGAAGATGTATGCAATACTATACACGGTGAATTTTTCATTCACTTGAACCAATGGTTGTTGGCCATAGTAATATCAAACCATTATAAAATACATACACATAAGTAACCATACATGTAATTTTAAATTTTTCATACTTGATTTTTTCAAAATTTAAGATTGCATAGAATACATACCTTTAGAAAGATGCTAACAAATGTTAGCCAATTAACTTTCATGTTTTGGGATTGTCTATTTTTCATCAATAACTGCGACGTAAATAAAGTTCTTAGTTCTCAAAATCTTACTTTAAATATGCTTTATAACAATATATGCAAAATGGTATAGACAAAGGAGTGCACATACCCATAGCAGTAATGTTAACCCCATACTTCTATGCCAAAGCAATAGCAATTGTAGTTGCTTGTGATTACGATTTTTACCCTAATAGTGATGACCTAAATGCAAATAAAGATTAAGCATCTTAAAAAAGTACCATTTTTTTCTTTTTTAAAAAATTTACATGGGGTGTTTAAGAAGGTTACCTATCTTATTCCTTTTAAAAAAAATAAGGAATCCTTGGCAGTAGCAGATGTTTGAAATGAGTAAATGCATTTGCTGCCACTATTACTTAAGAATCTTGAGGTTCAATCTTGGTTATTCATAATTAGACCAACAATATAAAAAATATCAAAATTAAAGCTTGCAATAACAGCCATAGGTAAGTTAAAATTTTCATTAAATTCAACAAACTCGACAAA